ATCATAATCCTCATTCTTCCAATCTAATTATCAGATAAAATAAACCTTGCAAAAACATTGAATATGTATAAAGCGCGTTTCCCAAACCTGAAAACTTGCTAACAAAGTATTTGGTACACTAAGCATGACTAATAACGTTGAAGACAAAGTGGATTTAGCCGCAACTACTTCTACATGTCCTTTTGAATAGCTTATTAACTGGTAGTTAAACGAAAAAAGGTTACCTTATGTGTCGTTTAAACTAAAAAAAGCTATAATAATCAATTAAGTGAATATATGAATAACACGGAACCTCACCCTGTCTATACAATTAGAAAAAAAACCCTGCTGCTTTCAAGTTCACAAGAAATAAAAAAAAACAATGGTTTTTTTTCCGTACGCAAAACAAACTTAAATTTCCTAAAAATGATTAAACCCCATTTTTGAGAATTATTAATAGGTGAAATGCAGTCGTTGGCAAAATAAGATTCTGTGCAGTCAATAGTAATCTGAAGTGAAACTGCATAATTAGTGTTTTTCAAAAACTTCTACTTTCATATAAATCTTGCTACCTGTCATTCTATTTTCAGCATTTACAAACTAAGCCCTTCCCAGCACTCTGCTACCAACTAACAACAAACTTTAGGATAGAAACATTACCTAAAATTTTCCAATAGCTAATTATAAGACTATAAAATCTCTAAAATTTTTAATGACCACAACTGCCAAAAATCCGGAGAAAGGCAACGACCAACAGAACCTTCCCGGGAAGACAGTTATGCCATTATCTTAGGTGCACAGAATCTGAAAAAACACTTCCTTGTCTAGCTACCTAAAAAAGTGATTTCTAACCGGAAAAAGTCTTCCATAATGACTTAAGACAGAACCCCCACTTTACTACCGTAATAAAACTTTATGAAGACCTTAAAAGTAGGGCCTGCGTTCAATGAACATTCAATGAACAAGCGATAAACTTAGTTAGACTTGAGCATCAAAAAAAATTCAAATCAAGACAGTCAGAAGCACAGGCTCAAACAGGAAAAGTAGAATTCATAGACGGTTCTATTCAAACTTATGCAAAGACTACAGCAAAACTGCTTAAGCCTTTCCCCTCAAAATGGTATGCGTAATTTATAAAGCCGCCATCTGTTACTCAAGAATTTTTAAAGAACTTTTTCGAAGAACTCATCATAGCCGTATGCACATTTGGAAAAAAAAAAAAAAGCTGAAGGAATTTGAGCAGGAACAGTCAAAAATAAATTATGTGTAGAAAAACTTATCTGTCTCTAATAGAATATAACCGTTCAAACAAATTTCTGCCAAATATGTAGCCTGTTGCTTACAACGCAATGCCGCTTTCCGCGCCTCCACAGTGTCTTCCGCCTATTTAGTGAGGTATCCTAAATCTTGCCGCGCACGTCTTCAAATAATACGCCACGTTGTTTGACGAAAAAAGTGGTTGTCACTCAAAAAACTTAATTTAACATGTTATCATAAATGTAACCTTAATCTTTGAGGAACTTACAAGTAACAAACAGACTGAGACGCTAGATGCATTTAACTTTTCTTACTGTGTGACTAAAATACAAAAACTTCCACCACAAACTAAAACGAACTTCTCAAATGACATTAAAAAACCAAAAAAAAAATCCCAATCACTGCACCAAACTGCAATTGTACTTCGTGTAACGGCCACCGCAAACGTTAGCGAAGTTCAGAAATAACTTTTGTATTTAACGAAACAAAATTTAAAATCTAATCTAATTTAAACAACTAAAATCACGCAGCTCTTCTTCTGCACTACATCTGTGCACAATTTGCATAAAATCGACATACAGCAGACAAACACTGTTACTGGTAAACAAATATTGAAAAAAATTTTTTACCAGTTACACATAAGCAGTAAAAAATTTTTAAACTCACTTATATTAACTAGCACAAAAATCTTAACAAGACAAAAAAAAAAAAGAATTTTAGCCACTTAAGTGGCAAAAACTTAAACTTTTGAAAGTGAGGAAACCAGCAAAATCCAACTCGCCACGCAAATATATACAAACATCCGCGATAACTAACACTAGACAAAAGATTCAAGTCACAGTCGGTTACTGCTTAGCAGTGAAAAATAACCAATAAAATCACAAGAGTTGTATGTCTCCCTATTTAAAAACTAATATAGATAAAAACCTTGGCTTTGCTATCTTCCATACAACAAAACAAAAAATGACACGATACAATACGGCTACTAAAACAAAAGTAAATACAATTAGTTTATAAAGTAGAATAATATTACACATAACAAAAAAAAAAAAAAAAAAA